CTGGTCAGTTTCGACCCTGGGAGGCGTCTGGGAGCAGATTTTGAGTGGAAAGGCTCTCCCTCCTGACGCACTGTGAAGGCCTTGAGGCCTGTGCCGCCGACCGCGGGACCTCGGGCCGTGAGATGTAAGTCCTCTACAGACTGTTATGTTAATAAACCACAAAAAGTGTAGTGGAAGGTGTCAGGAAAGTGTTTCGTATGAAGTGCGTGAAAGTGTGAGAAAAAGTGTCGAATGTTGTGTGCCTGTACTCGTCGCGCGCGCGCCAGAATCCCAAGAAAGTGTTGCCATACTGCCGCGGTGTCAAGCCGAGGTCCTCGGCTGTCGCGTCGCTCCCCCCCCATGGACCCGCCCGGACCCCTGGGGGGTGCGGTATTTTGACCCAGGACCATCCTCCCGCACCACAGACGAGACCTCTTTCGGAACATCCCTCCATGACCTCCCCCCTGCAGGGCCCCCCACCCCTTGTCTTTCCTGTCCACAGGGGGGACCAGGGAGGGGAGGGAGGGCCGCCGGGACCCTGGGGGGAGGACGGCGATCTGACGCAGATAACCCCCCGTACCCTCCTCCTACTCCCCGCTTGCCCCCCCGTCAGGGAGGGCAAAAGGGGAGGGAACCGACTTAACCACGACGTTTGTAGTCTGTGCTCGTTTTTAAGTTCCCTTGGGATATGCGACGACGACGACGAAGACGACCACAGTGTCTCACACACGGCGAAGGGTCGGCGGACTTTGTCGGGGTTTATTACCAGCTCGGACCCCTCGGCCGCCTCCAAGGCATCGGTCGAGGAGGCTGGCCGCCTCCCCCCGGCCCTCCTGCCCCTCGCCCGCCGGAGCCGTCGGTGCGGTGGCTTCCGCGCGACCCTCCCCGACGCGCGGCCCCTTCCCGGCGCCCCGCGCTCGGGTGCCTGCGCTGCCCGTGGCACGTCCTCGGCAAGGGGGGGCGGAGCGGCTCGCTCTTCTCGCCGCTGGGCCGCTCGACCCGCTGGCGTCGCTCTGGGCGGCCGCCTGCGGCGCCGCTCTGCTCGACTCGTGCGTGGAGGGCGAGCCTTGGCGCGGCCGCCGGGGCTCGCCCCCCCCGCGCGGCGCGGCGGCCGGGAGCCGCTCGAGGGCCGCCGCCGCCCCAGGGCGAGCAGCTCCCCCAGGGGCAGGGCACCCGCGCCTGGCGCGGGCGCCGCGAGGCGCAGCAGCCGCCCCGCCTCGCCCCGCGCCAGCCCCCCGCTCCCCCCGGCCGGGAGGGCCTGCTCAGCCATGGCGGGGCCATCGGGTTCCACGCCAGTGACGACCCGTGCGCCCCCGGCGACGGCGACGGAGTGGACGATGAGGAGCGCCGAGCGCAATGCAGTCGTCACTCCCATCGGGGCGCGCAGGCCGGCTCCACTCGCCCCGTCGCCCCAGGACGTGGAGGGCGCCTTCCGTGCGGCATTCGTCGAATGGCGCAGCATCGCGCCACCTGTCTGGCCTTGTGAGTGATCTCCTCGGCGCGCTTTTTGCATCCCCCCCCGCTCACCTGCTGCCTCGGGCGCAGACATGCCCGCTCCGGGCGCGGGCTGTCGGGCCAGGGAGTGCCCTCCTCGCGCCTCCCGCCAGGCCGCCGCCCAGCGCTCCCCTCACTTCTGTGCGCCCCGCTGCCTCGCCCCAGCGGGTCCGCCTCCTGCCTGCCCCGACGCCGCGCCTGTCCGTGTCTGTCCTCAGCTACTCCCTCGCTGCCCGTCGCCCCTTCCCCGCGGGCCCCCTCCGGTCCCCTGCTGCCTCGGGCGCGCACCTGCCCGCCATGGCGCGGTCACTGGCCTGGGAGCACCCGTGTCGCGGTAGGGGCCTCTCGGCCTCGTTGCCTCGTCTCTTGGAGCCTTTTTGCGGCTCGCTGCCCCGCCCCGGCCGGTCGCCTTTTGCTCTCCAGACGGGCGCCGTCCCTTTGGATGCCGACACGGCCGCTTTTTCGCCCCCCCCTCCCGCGGGCCCCCCTCCGACCCCCAGCTGCCTCATAGGCGCGGACCTGCCCGCCTCTGGCGCTGTCTGCGGTCCGGGTCCACCGGTGTCGCTGTTCCGTTTGTCAGCCATGGGCCCTGCCATCCGCTGGCCGGCGACGGACTGGCCCCCTTTTTACGCCACCTCTTTGTGGGCGCGTCTTTGTCTCACCGCGCGTTGACGATTCTGCGCTCCGCCCACCGCCCTGGTCGTGGACCTGCCCGGCCGCTGTGGTGGCGTGCGCCCGCAGTCTCTCGCTTCGCGGTCCTCGCATCGCCTGGGCCGCTGCTCTCCCTTGGCGTGTCCTGGCCCCCCCAGGTCGGCTCGATCTCCTGAGTGGACCTTCGGCGTCGCCCTGCTGTTTCCCCCAGGCCTCTCTGCCTCGCTGCAGCCCCGCCCGGTGCCTGGCTCCCGCGGCCCGCTGCCCTCCCTGGCGGTGCCCGCCCTCTCGCGGCTTGGCTCGATTTCCTGGGTGTGGACCCTCAGCGGCGACTGCCTTGCCGCCGCCCCTCGGCCTGACGGCCTCGCCCGCCTCCGCCCTGGAGTTCGGGCTCTGCGCGGCCTCCCCCGCCTTCCCTTCCGCCCCGCTTGCTCCTTGCTTGTGCGCGCGGGGGCCCCTCTCCCTCGCCCTCGCCCGGGCCGCTCGCCGCCCGGGCCCACGCCCGCTTTTTTCCGGCCTCCCGACCTCGCGGCCAGGCAGGGCCGCCGGCCTCACCCCTGCCAGCTCCGCTGCTCGCAGGCCGTCCTCTGCCCGCCCACCTGGGCGCCCCTCTCGCTGCCCCGCCCCCGTCTCGGCGCCCCGCCTCGCGGCCGCCGCCCCCCCCGCGCCCCCCCCCCCCCTCCCCCCCGCCCGCTGCCCTCGGCGCGGCCTCCGCCCCCCTCGCTGCTGCCCCGCCGCTCGCCGGCGCCTGCCCGCTGCCCCCTGCTGCCCCGGCGCCGCTGGCGCTGCCCCCGGCCACTGCCCCGCGAGGGGCGGGCCGTCTCTCCGTATCCCTTGCGTCTCCTCGACTGCTGGGTGCGCGTGCCGTCCGCCGCGCATGCGCTGGGCGCCATGGCCGTGCGCCTGGCCGCGACGATCGGCAGTGTGTGTGTGTGTGTGTGTGTGCGTGTGCGTGTGTGTGTGAGCGTGTGTGTGTGTGTGTGTGTGTGTGTGTGTGTGTGTGTGTGTGTAGACTTCCACTCGGGGCGTCTGTGGTCTTTCAAAATGGTGCTCCCGGTGCAGCGCTGGCTCCATGTTAAGATCGGCGCTTTGCCTCAGTCTTTCGGAAAAGCGCTTGCGCTCGAGCGCGGGCCGCCTTTCTGGATCCGATTCCTTCCTCGTCGCTGTCGCCCTTCTCTTTCCCTACGCCGCCCTCCCCTGGTCCCCCTGCTCCCGCTCCTTCTAATCCTGCTGTCGGTCGAGAGCTACAGGAGCTTGTTCAGGAAGGATCAAGGACAGAGGCGAGGCCAAGGGAGTCGAGCACCCGTGTCTCTCCCCCCCTCCCTCCCGTTGCTCCTCGGTGAGCCCGTCAGTCCAGGCTTGGAAATCTGGCACAGGGTGTCCTGTGGCTGCTTTCCGCCCTCGGCACTCCGATCCTCGGGCCAAAAGGAGGCCCCTCAAAAGAAGAGCAAAAAAGAAAGCGGACAGATATGGGGGACAACGACGATCATCGACGCTTTGCCAGCACGACAATGCCCAGCACTCCGAGCGTCATGCTATGGTATAGGGCTTTGCTCACGCTCAAGCTCTGGAAAGCCAAGTTCGCACTCGCATAGAGAATGCGACAATCTCGAAACTTAAGAAGGGTGGAACAGTAGCAATCTGCTGCTGCTGCACCCGCCCTTAAAAGATAGGCAGCAGCACAGATCATCAAGCGACTCAACGCAAGCGGCAAGATGGAGAGATAAGGCTCTGGAGCATCAGAGAGTCTACCCCCGAGCCACGCAAAACCATCTGCCAAGGCTGCAAAAGGAAGCCACAACATATACATTCATACACACATCTATATATATATATATATATGGATATACACACGTATAGCAGGCGAGGCAGTCGGCGGCCCTTCCGCCGCAACCACTTAGCCCAGGACCTGTGTCGACTCATGATCTCAGAGCCTTGCTGAATGACCCCTCGCACGGATCCAAGGGAGCAGACAGAAGTGTTTTCAGAACGTTCCGGCGGAGTGTTCATATAAACGTTCTGCTCGCATAAGGGTCCGTATTTTTTGTTCGTTTTCTTTTGGTATGTGATTTTTGTTTCACGAGTTGCTTTTACCCGTCAGCTGTCCCTTGCCCTCGATGTGGTTCAGCAGCTGGTTGAGCTTCTCGGTCTTGTTCTTACCCCAGGATGGTCTGGGTGATACCCTCAACCATGCCAAATTCGACCAGCCAGGCATCGCGTTTCGGAGGGAACTCGCTGACGTCATGACTGTTTGCCAGCTGCTCGGCTGGTTCTTCATCGCAGGGGTAACGCCTGAGGGGGTAGCGTCGGGGCCATCCTATTGGTCACGAGCAAGCTCACCCACGGCCGCGCCAGTCTGGATCAAGTCTTCCTTGCCGCCGATCACATGCACCAGCTTGTCGAGCTTGGACTCCCTGTCTCCGCTGCCAGCCGCTGTCGGGCTCTGGATGAGGGTCGCCATGTCCTGCTTCTTCTGCTTTCCGTGGAGCTCCTGAAGAACCTTTGGGAGCTCACCGTCGTCGTCGTCGTCGTCGTCGTCGTCGTCGTCGTCGTCGTCGTCGTCGTCGTCGTCGTCATCATCTTGGTCAAGGTCGCTGATCTTGCTGGAGTTCTTCATCTTGCTCATGAACATCTTCAACATCTTCGGGTCGATCGTATCATCACCTTTTTTCGCTTCGTCTACACCACCTTGGCCATGGCTTTGAACATTTTGCCATGCTTTGTGCTCTGCTTGCTGAACTGCTGCTCCCTGTCGAGCTTCCCGAGAAACTCGTGCTGTCAGATCTCCGAAGGATGCGATCACCAGCAATCTCTGAGAGGGTTTACGAAGCCGAACGGACTGCCAGCACTCTTTTTACCCCTATCGTTTTTTTCACCTCATTCTTCGGGGTGGTCAAGCCGAGGAGTTCTCCTGCCGCCGAGGCCGCGTTCTCCCTGATCTCGGCAGCGTGGCTCTTCCTCTCCGTGCGGGCTGCGCGCTCGGCCTCCCTTTGCGTGGACATCGCGGTCACCTCACGAGCACTGCCGGGTGCATCGTGGAGGTGTGCATCACGCTGGGCGCCGCGGCTGGGATGCTGGTGACGCTGGCTCGTGTCGGTGTGGTTGTCCTTGCCTTTGCTCTGGCCCTTGCCGCCGCCGTCTGGCGAGTTACCACGATATTTCTGAGCGTGCCAGCCCATGGCGCACGATCTGGGGGACTGCGCTTCTCAGAGATTGTGCAGGGATGATCTGCGCAGTGTACGATATGGAAGGGCTCTGCTGCGTGGAGGCGGAAGTGCCCGTGAGGACACGCTAGCTGGCTTGAACCGACGCTGCTTCGGAGCGGAGGTGGTCGAGGTTGGAGGGCAACGCAGTGCTAAAACCAGCCCTCTGGACCTCGGACCCCAGATCCATTGACCCAGCTCTGAGGGGTTATCGTGAGCAACCTACTGAGTCTTCGAATCAACGTGAGGTATGACGAGGCGCGGCGTCTAGAGTCTAGGGACGGATCGGAGAGCAAGTGTGATGTCCCTGGCTGGCCAGCTCAAGATAAAGACTTCACACACGATGTCAACTGTGGCCTGATGAGCTCGCTCGGGCAAGCCTTCCCCCATAGCATCGAAGACTATTACTCTCTCCCACAAACGTGTCTAATGGAAGGATGGGATGAGGTTAGCAGGGGCCGAGGAGTAGCTGTGGAATTTCGCAAACTTAGGTAGTGGGCTCTGCCCAGTTGGAAACTGGTGGTTCGTCGAGAATGCATGGCACGCAAACCCATGGGGTGACTCAACGAGGTTATGCTGGAGGAATCGGATTGGGAGGGTTGTTCCTTGACGCGTAAATCCAACGTCTGATGGAAAAAAGCTTGTGTAGGGATCGAAGCAAGCACCGTCCACATAGGGGTCTCGAGAAAGACGAGCTGTCGCCCATGTATACAACTCCTTGCACAACCTGGGATGCGGGGATATTCGGAAAGGCACGACCGAGAGCACGTAAAATGACAATTAGAGTCGGGTCGATGCAGGCAGTTTCCGAGATCAGCCAACGTCGCGGGCATTGGTAGGCATGCGCCCACAGCCTACCCTCGCTTTCTTTTGAAGATCCGCTTTCCGACTGCGAAAAGCAAACGCTTTCAACATAGTACAGTGCGTTACATACGTCGGTAGACCGGATGAGGTCATCACACACCTGTATCTTAGCACCTGGCTTGTACACATATCTTGTTGCTTGCTTGCCTCTGCGCGTGGCCACTCCTGGTTGCCCGTGTTGCGCTGTGAGCCTCTTAGTGAGGTCTCGCGCGCACCATGCGCTACGGGCACAACTAGCGTCCTTGAAAAATTGGGAGGCGTCTGCTTTACACAAAATGTTGGGTGCGTTTTCTGGTTACAACGTGGACAGTTCTTTGTCTATCGTGCTGCGACCTTGAGTTGGGCAACGCGCGCTCGAATAACACTATGTAGCTCCTTCGGTTTCCACGCACGAGCGACCTTTCCCAGGAAACGCTTTGCGTGGCATGATCTGCAGACACAATTTCTCGCACATGCGCGTGCTCCTTCTCACATGCGAGACTCCCGTCTTCGTGGGACAGACACTTACTTCAACATGTGATATATGTATATATACACATATATATAGTCACACCTCTCTTTGTGTGTATATATATGTATATTCATATGTGCGCGCGATGTGATCGGGCTGCGCTGGCGCGGGGTTCTTCCGACGCTTGGGGATGTATTTCTTGCCCAGTTTTCGCTGCCGCTTCGCAGCGCTCTTGCGCGTAAGATCTGGCACGTGCAAATAACGAGCTGGGTCTTCGAGCGATGTATGTTTCTGAGGTGCCAGAGATGGTGCGCCCACTTGCTGGTGGGGGTCTTTACCAACCCCCGTCCACACCAGATGCCTCCATTCCTCCACCAAGGTCTCCCTCAGCGTGCCCAGGGGGGATCTCTCGGAGCACGTGGTTGGGACTCTTCGCCGGAAGCGGTCGAGAAAAACGCGAACCCAGGGAAGCAATGCTGGGGCGCATCGTGAGGAAATGTCTCTCTCGATCCATCTTCATATCTCTGTATTTGTTTGTTTTGCTCTCTCCCTCGTTCTTTCTTTCTTCGTCTCTCTGTCTCTGTCTTTCTGCCTCTCCCCTGTCTCCCTGATCTCTCTCCCGCGCGCGCACACGCTTGGCGCCGCGGCCACGCGCGATATCCAGTGATGCAGTCGCAACTGTGCTTTTGTCTGTTGCCAAAGCTTAGCTGGGGAGGTGTCCAGCGGCGCGTCTCAGCAGCAGTCACGCCAGAAGACATCATAGCAGAGAAAGGGAACATACATGACATGCTATCAAATCCCACGAAACATCTGGGTGCTAAAGCAGGCGGAAGCTGCATATTGACGTGTTCACGGGCACGCTCCAATTTTGAAGTAAGTACTCGTGTCTTCGCTCGTAGGTATGACAACACATATGTTTTGTGTTTGCTGGCATGCTTGAGGTATGCTACAACCGCGCGTCCTGTGATTCTCAAACTCCTGGGCGCATCTGTGGAATCGTTAAACATGCCTCGCGACAAAAGGTCACCTGTTTGCAACAATATCTCGAGCTCACTCTGAGCAGTCCGTTTCTGCCCACCTTGTAGGAAGGATGCGCGATACCAAATTGCGAATCTGTATTCTGCAACCTGCGCATGCCTCCAAGCTCTTGTGCAATCAAGTCGATGGTCATAGTCTGAGAGATATACGGTCAAGCAAGCTTCATACCCTCGATTACACAGCAACCTCTCCACACCCTTGGGGGCAAGCAAGAATCGCTCTTGCAGGGAGAGGAGGAGGGCCTGCCAGGAGTGTGATTGTCGAAAGAAAAGGGCACTCAACTTTGGGTCACGCCAAAGCTTAATACTAACGTTGAGTGACAACTCACGTGAAAGGGAAGGGGGATCACGACAGCGGGGAACGTCACGCAACCTGTCATGCTCGCTGTGTGTGCACTTACGTGCTGCTTTCTGGGTATGGGGCTGGATGACATCAATGAAGAAGCTTTCATATCGTAGACCATGCGCTGCCGATCCAAAGGTAATGAGCAGAGCTCCTAGGCTCCACCACGACTCGCTGCCCCACGATTTGTACAGTGGGCGATGGATTTGGCCATTTGTTTTTCTATATTATTATTATTCGTAGTGCTCCTGTAACCGTGCGAACCCCCACATGCCGCCAAAGGTTATTGCGCCTACGCGCAGACTGGGCTTTCCCAATGCACCACTGTCCAGTCGGTGGCCATAGCAACGCACACAAGTGACTTATCGGGTTGGCAGTCTTGGGTGTGCCAGAGAAGATGGTGGACTTGGGAGAGGTAGCTTCGTCAAAACTGAAAGCGAAACGTCCTAGCAAACATGCGGCCTGCAAGGCTGGAATCGCAGCACGCAAGACGACGCAGATGCATGTTTTTCTTCTGCGAATGTTTTCGACAATGAAGGATAACAATGTATGAGTAGCACCAAAGCCATATTACGAGGTCCACATATTTCTGTTGCCGCTTCCTCGTTACAGCCATAAGCCAATGACACACCTGGGACTTCGCATTGCATTGCTGTGCAGTTTGTCGATGAAGCCTTGCATGGCCCACAGGCAGACATGAGCTGTTATGTGCATACCATCCGCACGCATGTTCCCACAGTCCTTCCCAGTACATGCGCGTGCCACTCGGGCCATGACGTTTTGAATGGGGAGACGATGGACGAACTCTTCGGGGTAGAATTTACTAATATGCATACGTGCTGGGTGTGCACGGTCCAGCATATGAGCCCTACCCAAACAAGCACGTACGGTAGGTATTTTCCGCCACACGCCCTGGAGAGGGAACCGTGTGAGAGCTGCTGGTCGAGAGCTAGAGGAGCTAGATCAGAAGGATCAAGGATGGAGGCGAGGCCGAGAGGCAAGCACCCGTGTCTCCCCCCCTCCCCTCCCCTGGGTTCCTCGGCGAGCCCGTCGGTCCAGGCTTGGAGCTGGCACAGGGTGTCCTGTGGCTGCATTGCGTCCTCAGCATTCCGGCCTTCGGACCAACAGGAGACCCGTCAGGAGAAGAGCGATATGAGAGCGGACAGAGACGGGAGACAGATCACTACTCTGCCTACGACGAGCATCGCACGCACTGCCAGCGCGACAATGCTCAGCACTCCGAGACTCGCGCCATGGCACTGGGCTTCGCACGCGCTCAAGCTCTGGAAGTCTAGGTTCGCACTCGCATTGAGAATGCGACAATCGCGACACGTAAGGGTGGAACAGTAGCAATCTGCTGCTGCTGCTGCTGCTGCTGCTGATTCTCCTTCCTCCTCCTTCTCCTCCTACTCCTCCCACTTACCCTCCTGCTAGTCTGCCACCTCCTCCTCCTCCTCGAATGTACACAGCTCCCACTTTTGATTGAGCATCACACGATGGGCTCATTTTTGGGATCCATGTGCGCTGGGACACCCGTCGGAGGATAGAGAAGAATCAGCGCAATTGGAAGGGATCGTTGGGAGGGTAGGTTGCTAGATATGATGCGAGCGCTCCTAGCTTGTCCTCCTCTTCTTCCTCCTGCTGCTGCGCACGCGCTAGCGAATCCTTTGTCGCCGCGTCCCAGCCGCGACGCCCCCAGCCCACCAGGAGGGGGTCGAGATGGCAGCACCCCCCACCATCCCCCACCTCCCCCTTTCTCATAGCATTAGCAGCGAAGAAGTAGGATCGCCAGGGGGGGGCGCGCCTGACCCGACGCCTTGGGAACGCCGGCGGCACGCTCACCCTCTCCCCCAGGGCGGCTCCTCCTCCTCCTCCTCCTCCTCCTCCTCCTCCTCCTCCTCCTCCTCCTCCTCCTCCTTCTCTTCCCTCCTCGTCTTTCTCCAAAGGCATATTGGATCTAGGAGCTGTCACAGGTTGCACACATATTCCTCAGGCTCAACTTCACTGTGCTCCCCAGGAGCCAACAGCAGGCAGCCGTCAACTGTCCATATGGGGCTCCGTCACTTCACGAGCCTCCAAGACAACCAGCAAGGTGTCGTCCTGCAGAGAGCCAGCCTTGGCATGCTGGCTGGAGCATCTTCGCTCAAGCGCATGCTTGAAGTCGGCCCGTGTGGCGCAGGATGGTGTGCCGCTGCCGAGGCCTGGCGCTGTGGCAGGCACGTCTTCGCTTCTCCTCCGTGGGAACGGGCGCCCTCAGGATGAGCGCACCCGTGCGCCGAGG